CCTAGAATTCCCCAGCCAGCAAAGCAAAGCTGGCTGGGGAATTCTGGGAGTTGAAGTCCTCCAGGCTTAAAGTTACCAAGGTTGGAGAGCCCTGCTCTACAGGAACTGATAGCACATCTATGGAAATACAATATAAGGCTAAGGCTACAGGAACTGATAGCACATACAGGAACGGATAGCTGGCAGTCAGCAGAAGTAGCCTGCAGTACTGCAGTCTAACCACTGCACCACCTCGGCTCGACCTCAGAGTTGTTTGACCTTGGAGGGCCAGGGGTGGGCGTGTCCATGGTGGCCATGACCAGCTCGACATCACTCGTGTCGGGGGCACCTGTGGTGGCCAAGTGCTAATGCAGGACTTCCCTGAGACCCTCCCTCACTCTCATTATAATCTCCTTCCTTCCTTCTTCTTTTTCCTTCCCTCTTCCTTCTCCTTTCTTCTTCCTTCCCCTCATTTTTTCTTCCTTGCTCTCTTCCCAATTTTCCTTCTTCTTCTTTGTCTTTCCTCTTTCCCTTTCCTGTCCCTTCTTGCATGCTCAAATGCAAAAGGGGAAACATTTCTCCTTTTGTTTAGACAGCCCTCTGCCAGCGAAAACAGAGCTGGGGGGGGGGGCACTCCCTTTTAGTTGGCAGAGGCCCTGCAGGCCAGTCCTTTGCTGTTTCCAGGCCAGCCCTGCAGGCCAGATCTTAGCACCCCATGGGCCCAAGGCGGCCTGCAGGCTTCGAGTTTGACACCCCTGTACTAGATGCTTAAACTGGTTTTGGAAAAGGCCCAGGAAGAAGATACGTTGCTGATGCAAACTGGGATGCCAAAAGATACCCAAAAGAAGTGAAATGGGTGCTTCACGGACCATAGAAAGCTTTTGATTTGGCAATCACATTAAGCCATGCAATTTCCTTAGAAAATGGGAATGCCAGAACATGTCCTTGTCCTTGTGCAAAACCTCTACACAGGACAGGAAGTTATAATCCAGACAAACCATGGTGAAGAAGACTGGTCCCAAGGATGCTAACAAGGTTGTATGCTCTTCTCTTAGTTGTTCAACCTACATGCACAGTTTTGAGAAGGAAGGACTCACTGGAGAAGAACTTAATGCTGGGAAAGATGGAGGGCAAAAGAAGAAGGGGATGACAGAGAACGAGGTGGCTGGATGGAGTCGCTGAAGCAGTCGGCATGAGCTTAAATAGACTCCAGAGGATGGTAGAAGACAGGAGGACCTAGAGGTATGTTGTCCAATGGGGTCGCGATGGGTCGGACACGACTTCACAACTAACAACAACAACATGCACAGTATATACTAAAGGAGGCTTGGTTGGAAGAAGAGAAGGGTAGTTTTAAAACCGGAGGAAGAAGTATGAATGACCTGTGCTATGCTAATTATGCCACACTGATAGCTAATAATGGAAATGTTCCATTAAGTCCCCATTCAGAAAGACCTGGCATCTGTTCAGGCAGCCAACATCATAGCTCTGCCTGGTTCACACATCATCTTAAAAATATGGGACTTAATTGCATTTAGCTTAGCACGGTTCAGTCTTGGATGTACAGTAATACCTTGGTACTCATCGTTAATTCGTTCCAGGAGGCATCCTGAGTACCAAAAACGATTGAGTACCAAACTTTTCCCATATGGAATAATGTAGTTGAGTCACAAGGCAGCCAACAGCGACTTCTAGCTTGTGCGTCAAATACCAAAACAGCAAGAAGTACTGGGGACAAACTTTTCACATCAAAATGCATTGAGTACCAAATTTGGTGAGTTTCTGAGCCATTGAGTATCAAGGCACCACTATATAACTATATAACTTCTGTAAACTCAGTCACAATGGTTTGCAAACCATGGTTTTTGCTTAGCAAAATGAACTCACAAGGTTTCACACACTATGCCAAGCCAAGTAGCACGAATCACAAGAATCATGAGCCTAGGTGGCCTTCAAATGTTGAAAAATAAGGTGAATAAATCACACTAGGCTATATTTGTACATCTGAAGTCAAAATCAAGGGCACAGCATAGTTGCTTGATACAATATGTAAGTCTAAGGTAAAGGTAAAGGTTCCTCTCGCACATATGTGCTAGTCGTTCCCCACTCTAGGGGGCGTTGCTCATCTCTGTTTCAAAGCCGAAGAGCCAGCGCTGTCCGAAAACGTCACCGTGGTCATGTGGCCAGCATGACTAAACGCCAAAGCCGCACAGAATGCTGTTACCTTCCCACCAAAGGTGGTCCCTATTTTTCTACTTGCATTTTTTACGTGCTTTCGAACTGCTAGGTTGGCAGAAGCTGGGACAAGGAACGGGAGCTCACCCCATTACGCGGCACTAGGGATTCGAACTGCTGATCTTTCGATCAACAAACTCAGCATTTTAGCCACTGCGTGGATTAAAATGCTTGCTTCCAAGGAGGCTACCTGTCCTTCTGCTCTAGGAGTCACTGCTTTGTACTGGTTTACTCCCGTCAAGTCCCTTGGTATCCTTCAGATCAACCATTTAGGTAGAAACCCACGCATTACATTCTTCTAAGGTAAGGAGTATTTACTCTCAAAGGAACTGTGAGAAATTGGCTATCCTGCCAGCTCTGATTGGACTCAAAACCTCTACAACCCCCAGCCAACATAGACAATAGTCAAATACGATGGAAGCTGAAATACAAAGGATCATGTGTGATCCCTTTATCCCTACTTTAAATAGGTCTCGCCATCCATTTTCTAGGATTATACATCCAGAGATCTTATGATCCTAACCTCCACAGTCAGGAGTATTACGTCCTTGAAAATAAGTTGGAAATTCATTAGAAAGCAACTGTCATTATAAGTTACATGTAAGCTTTCTTAGAACCTCTGACTAGCCAATCCAGAAAAGCAGAAGGTAGTTCACCAAGATCTTGGCCTCCTCCAGCATCTGTTCTGGTCAGCTTAACACTAACAGCTTTAGCAGCACTAGGTGGACTGCATTCCATGCTGATGTTCTTCTCATGTCCCAGTGTAGCCTCATTCCAAAATACAGTAAGAATGTCAGGGTGACCTGTCCTTTATCACTTTGCAAATCCAGGCTGCTCAGTTTGGAAGCAGGCAGTCCTTGCTATTTGCCCAGTTATTTTAGGGTATTAGCAACCTCCTCAATTTTGAATTGCATATAGTCAAGGCTATGGTTTTCCCAGTTGCAATGTATGGCTGTGAAAGTTGGACCATAAGGAAGGCTGATTGCCAAAGAATTGAGGCCTTTGAACTCTGGTGCTGGAGAAGATACCTGAGAGTCCCTTGGACTGCAAGGCGATCAAACCGGTCAGTCCTAGAGGAGATCAACCCTGACTGCTCTTTAGAAAGCCAGATCCTGAAGATGAAACTCAAATACTTTGGCCACCTAATGAGAAGGAAGGACTCACTGGAGAAGAGCCTAATGCTGGGAACGATTGAGGGCAAAAGAAGAAGGGGACGATAGAAAACGAGGTGGCTGGATGGAGTCACTGAAGCAGTCGGTGGGAGCTTAAATGGACTCCAGAGGATGGTAGAGGACAGGAAGGCCTAGAAGGTTGTCCATGAGGTTGCGATGGGTCGGACACGACTTCACCACTAACAACAAACAATTTTGAATAAACTGGGGAGAAACCTAGTTTAGATGCTTGGCAAACTAGAGAATCTGAGCCCCCCGTTCTTTGTCTTTCATCTTCCTTTCCTTAAACCAAGCTCAAGATTCCTGCATTCTGGAACACCCTCGCCATCCCATAATGCCATTTCAAGAAGCATCACCAACATCTGCTAGAGGCCTAGGTGTGACTTTCAACTCATGCACATTCCAAGAAGGTTAAAAAAAAAAAAACTCTGGAGGCTGGAAGGAGAGAGAGAGAGAAGCTCAGACAGTTAGAAATATCAATGAGTCCACAGGTAAAGTTTGGATCCATTTCTTCATATGTTCTCCTCCAAGCTGTAGTGGATGGCACTGTGGGCTTAATATTCTTCTTCTCCTTTGTATTTAGATATAAGCTTCCTTCCCTGGTCTTTCCATTATATATATGAGAAAGACCAAGGAAGGAAGCCTACATATATATAGTTAAGGCAGAATTACAAATTCCTCTAATTTGTACAACAAAAAGGAGAAGCAAAGCCCAGGGGAAGTTGACAGCCTTGAGAATCACATCTTTTTGAGTATTTGGGCAGGACACTTCCCCCATCTCCCTCTTCTCTCCCCCCACCAGCATAAACCCACAAAGGACAAGTGAATGTGCCCCCCCAAAACTCAAAATTTGGTGGTCCAGACTGTGAAACTATTTTGATAAGGCACCAAACTCTCAGAAGGACACAAGAGTGGTCTTCACCCATCATCTTAAGCCATGCTGAGTTCCCCCCAAGAGAGGGGTTTGGGTTTTTTTTTTTAACAAGCTTTCATAGCTGGGTTCCAGCAAAGCTTTGTGCCATGAAACAAGCCAGCTCAGTAGATTGGAAGTCAACCTTATGGTTGATTGGGTTGACTTGAAGCATTATGCCAAGCAAGGACTTAACTGGTGGTTTGGGAGCATACCCAGATTGGATGGGGTGATCCCAGACGATCAAATAAACTACACCATGGTTTATAGTGTGCCTCCCCCTCCAAAACTCAGATTTGGTGGTCCAGACTGTGAAACTATTTTGATAAGGCACCAAACTCGCAGAAGGACACAAGAGTGGTCTTCACCCAACATCTTAAACCATGCTGAGTTCCCCCCAAAAGAGAGGGGTTTGGGTTTTTTTTAAAACAAGCTTTCATAGCAAGGACTTAACTGGTGGTTTGGGAGCATACCCAGATGGGGTGACCCCAGACGACCACCCCCAAATCAAATAAACTACATCCCGGCTTATAGTACCTTGGGTGAACCCCAGGCCCTTGTTTCTGGATCTGGATGCAGGTGGGCATAACAAAGAGTTTCCCAAGGACTCCCCCAAACTTAAATCCCCCCCCCACAAAAAGGACACAAGAATCAATGAGTTATCAACCAGAGGGAGGGAGGGGGAAAAAAAAAAGAGAAATTACCGGCAGTTTTCCCGTGGAGGCGGCTCGCATGGCTTTGATCTCAGGTCCATGGGGGGTGGCATAAAGGCAACCGCCTCGAGGCAACGGCGCGACCACCGCCGTTTGGGGGTACACCTGAGCGAAATAGGCTGCGGGGAGAGCCCGCACCGGCGGGCCTGCGAGATCGGCCACCACCAGCTCGGCAGAGCCGCCGACAGCCATGCTTTTCTTTTGTGACTGGGGGGGGACGAGGGAAGGCGCCCCTCGGCCGGGGGCGGAAGGCCCAGCTTTGGGGATTCTCAGCATGGCCTTCCTCCGAGAGGCCGGGCGCCACCGGGAAGCCCTCGCAACTCCGGCCACGCGTGTCGGGACCGACCTGGGAAGGTACAATGGGGAAAGTCCTCCTAGCCATTTAAAACTGCCATCGGTGGGGGTGGGGTGGAGGTAAACCTACCCAGGATCGGTCCCTAAGGTGCTTTGGAAAGAGGGGAGAGGAAAGTGGGGGGGAAGGGAAAAAAAAAAAAAAGTCCAAAGTGAGGTTTTGCAAGCGCAGCGTGGGAAGATTCGTTCACACGGTCCGGGTTTCTTCATTCATTTTTTTTCTTGGACGAGGCAGCCATCGGGGTGAGGGTGGGTGGGTGGGTTTCACTCCTTCTTTCCTCTGCTTTCCCCCGTCCCCGGCTTCTTCTCCAACCAGGCACGTTGGGCGCGGGCTCCCCCCAACACAAAGCACCCCGAGATTCTCGCCGGCTTTTTCCAGAGGGGACTTTCCCGGGAGTTGGGCTGCAAAGTTGCAAGCTCGGCCAGGCTCATGCCCGACCAATGCCCGCCACCCGCGACTCTTCTTGCAAAAAAAAAAAAGAAAAAAAGCTTTTGTAGCGGGTGGGGGGGGGGAGGGGAGAGGCAGAGAAAACGCAGGATTGAAATAATAATAATAATAATAATAAATAAAAAAAAACTCCGGGGTGGGCTGCTTTTTTTTTTTTTTGCAAAATGCCCGGGGACCCGGGGTTGGGCGAACGGGAAGGTTTCCCCTGCCCCTCCGATCTCCGCTCCTACTGTCTATATAAGCTGGCAAGGCTGCGAGGCTTTTGGAAGCACCACCAACCGGGTACGGATCGAGCACCAGCCCGGGCCCCGAACCCGAAGGCGACCCTCCTAGCGCCTTTCATGGGCTTCTTCCGACTCGCAATGCTCCATAGGATTCCCGGCTGGGCTGCTGCAAGTTTCCCGGCCGTTGCCAAAGCTGCCGGGGCCAAGGATGGATCTGGATTGGGACAAGAAAGGACCCGATGGCTGCCCAGCCCTTTCTCTTTCCGTTCCTCCTTCACTCGCTTTTTTTTTTTTTTTAAGCGCCAAACTACGTGCCGCGAAATTCGGATCTCCCGCGGAAAAGGCCGCGCTCCCATTGGCCGGCGCAACATCAACGCGTCCCCGCCCACCGGATTTGATACATTTTGTACCGCGAGGAGGAAGACCGGAGGTTCGGCTCTTAAAGGGGAAGCGCGGCGTGGCTCCGGCGCTGCACGAGGCGCCAATGAGCCTCCGCCTTCTTTGCCCCCCGCCCGTCAGGGGGGCGTGGGCGGAGCCAGGGTAATACTGACCCTCTTCGCACGCCTGTCGGCTCCGGGGCTTAAAGCAACAATCCCGGTGGAGAAGCCGAGGAACGGCTGGCTTGGGCAGGTCCTCCGGGCGGTGACCCGGGACCGGAGATGGCGTTGGGGTTGGCAGCGGGCGGCTCCGGGGCTCCAGGTCCTGCTGGCTTCGCCGCTTCTTGTGAGACGGGGCTAGCCGAGCCTGTGGTCAGCCTTGTGGTCTTGGAACAAAGGAGGAGAGGCGGCGTGGGGCGATCCCTTCCATGCGTTCACGCGGCTCTCGCTAAAAAGGCAGAAATCTTTTTTTTTTTTTTAATTTGATTTATATGCCGCCCTTCTCCGGAGACTCAGGGCGGCTTACAATGCGTTAAGCAATAGCCTTCATACTTTTGTATATTTTATACCAAGTCAGCTTATTGCTCCCACAAACTGGGTCCTCAATTTACCTACCTTAGAAAGGATGGAAGGCTGAGTCAACCTTGAGCCTGGTGAGATTCGAACTTGCAGTAATTGCAGGCAGCTGAATGTTAATCACAATGCTATCAGTCTGCTGAGCCACCAGGCCCATCTGACTTGATGTTAAAAGACTGTTGAGATTCTCGGGCATCCAAGGTCATGGTTGTCCCAAAGGTGCTTTTTTTCAGGCGGCAACTGGACTTTCTTATTTTTTTCTTTTGAAGACGTTTCGCTTCTCATCCAAGAAGCTTCTTCAGCTCTGACTGGATGGTGGGGGATGGAAGGATGTATACTCCTTGCAGACAGCTGGTCGTTTGCCTCCTTTTAGAGCAATGTTTCTCAACCTTGGTAGCTTGAAGATGGGTGGACTTCAACTCCCAGAATCCCCCAGGCAGCAGCACTGGCTGGGGGATTCTGGGAGTTGAAGTCCACCCATCTTCAAGCTACCAAGGTTGAGAAACACTGTTTTAGAGGGTCCTTGAAGCACTTGGAGGTTTATCTGTGTCCTCAAGGTCACCTGAGTGGTGCTCCTGGTTTCTGTCATCTGCATTTTTTTCCTCTGGAAATCCACTCTTACTCCCACACCATTCCAAGGGTGTTCATCCCAAATTGTATAGCTAAAAGTCTGTAGAGATTCTCAGTCATCCAGGTCATGGTTGTCCCAAAGGTGCTTTTTTTTCAAGAGGCACCTGGACTTTCTGGTTTTGAAGACGTTTCGCTTCTCATCCAAGAAGCTTCTTCAGCTCTGACTGGATGGTGAGGAATGGAAGGATGGATAACTCCCTTGCAGACAGCTGGTCATTGGCATCCTTTTTAAAGAGGGTCTTTGAAGCACTTGGAGGTTTCTCTGTATCCTCAGGGTCACCTAAGTAGCGCTAATGGTTCCTGTAGTCTGCAGTCCCTCTGAAAATCCGTTCATACTCCCACCCCATTCGAAGGGTGTCCATCCCAAACTGCATAGCTAAAAAAGTCTGTAGAGATTCTCGGTCATCCAAGGTCATGGTTGTTCCAAAGGTGCTTTTTTTTTTTTCTTCAGGAGGTAACTGGACTTTCTGGTTTTTTTCTTTTGAAGACGTTTCACTTCTCACCCAAGAAGCTTCTTCAGCTCTTGCATGGTCCAGTTGCCTCCTGAAAAGAAGCACCTTTGGGACAACCATGAGCTGGGTGACTGAGAAACTTTACACAGACTTTTAGCTATGCAATTTGGGATGAAGACCCTTGGAATGGGGTGGGAGTAGGAATGGATTTCCAGAGGAAAAATTGCAAACGACAGGAACCAGAAGCACTACTCAGGTGACCCTCAGGACACAGATAAACCTCCAAGTGCTTCAAGGACCCTCTAAAGGTAAAGGTTCCCCTCGCACATATGTGCTAGTCGTTCTTGACTCTTAGGGGCGGTGCTCATCTCCGTTTCAAAGCCGAAGAACCAGCACTGCCCGAAGATGTCTCCATGATCATGTGGTCAGCATGACTACACGCCAAAGGCACACGGAACACTGCCAACCTAGCAGTTTGAAAGCATGTAAAAAATGCAAGTAGAAAAATAGGGACCACCTTTGGTGGGAAGGCAACAGCCTTCAAGGACCCTCTAAAAGGATGCAAATAACCCGCTGTCTGCAAGGAGTATAAATCCTTCCATCCCTCACCATCCAGTCAGAGCTGAAGAAGCTTCTTGGATGAGAAGCAAAACGTCTTCAAAAGAAAAAAACAAGAAAGTCCAGTTGCCTCCTGAAAAAGCACCTTTGGGACTAACTTAATGTAGGTTAGAAATAACTCGGCCTCGTGTGAATGTACTTATTTGTTCTTCGGTTTTCCATTTTGGGGTACAGTAGGTTTCAGCCTAAGGCAAAATCATGCTGATAAATTGCTGCCCTCCCTTATAGGCTGCTATTATTTGCTGTATCCTGTTGGTAGTGCGTATTCAATAGAGACTGAGGGTACAGTTCCTTAATCTGTACAATTGGCTGTGTTCACACAACACATGCATCCTGGTTACTTTATTAACCAATTTAGAGAACAGGGTTAAGTTAGAACTGGTGGATGGACGTATCATTTTCAACTCGTAGGGACTACACAGAGTTAAGGCAAAAAGGATGCACCAATGTTAAAAAGGACATTGTACTAATATCAAATGTGTATGGAGATTATCAATCGTCCAAGTCAGGGGTCGGCAACCTTAAACACTCAAAGAGCCACAAAGGTCCTAACCGGAAGCCCCCGTTCAATTCTGGAGCTGACCGGAAGTCCAGTTCCCCCCACCATAGAGTCTCCTTGCACGGTGTCCTTTTTCCTCTGCTGACTAGAAGTCGGTTCCCCCCCACCATAGAGTCTCCTCCTAGCGTGTCCTTTTTCCTCTGCCAAGTGAAAGTCGGTTCCCCCACCATAGAGTCTCCTAGCGCAGCATCCTTTTTCCTCTCCCTGTCCTAACCGAAAGCCCTATCAATTGTGGAGCCGACCAGCAACAGGGAGCCGCAGCAGAGGGATGAAAGAGCCACATACGGCTCCAGAGCCGCGGGTTGCTGACCCCTGATCCAGGTCATGGTTCTCCCAAAGATGCTTTTTTCAAAGGCAACTGGATTTCCTTGGTTTTTCTTTTTGAAAACATTTCGGTTCTCATCCGAGGAGCTTCTTCAGTTGTCAGAAAAAGCTGAACTGAAGAAGCTTCTTGGATGAGAATCAACGCCACTACTTTCACTATTAAGTGTAGTATCTGGATAGTTTTGTCTCAACAAACATGCCCCCCAAACCCACTTTTATCACTGCGCTTGAAAAGAGGAGCCTCTTTGCAATGGGAAGAGGACTGACGTGTGAGATTGAAATTTATTTCAATTTACAGCCACCCACCTTATATATGTGACTCTGGGCTGTTAAAATCGGGATGAAACCACCATAATTTTAAAAAATGGTTCAGTTGCGTGGAATAGCTGCCAAGAATATTCACAGCATTCAAATCAATCTTGAGATGGGCTCGCCCATATGGCCATATTAAACATCGGAAGAGAGTCTGCTTAGGACCAGCATAGATCCATCAAGGTTTTTTCCTTCTGCTACTAAACTCTGACCCAGCTAGGTTTTAACAGTTATACTTTCTCTTGAGTAATCCATGTTTGGGCTTGCACAATTGTTACACCATAAATGATGATTTGAAAACCACACTCTAGCTTCGTATAAAATACCAGCTGACTTTAAACAAACCGTATTATGACTTAGTAGCAAATTTGTAAACCTAGTCTAACAGGAACCAGGAATCTAGAGATGATTGTTTTCTCCGTGAATTTCTCTAAGTCCCTTTTTGCACACCTTCCTGTAGCCGATAAGGACTATCCATTCCATGACCTTAAATGTGGGTGTCGTAAAGATAAATGGTAAAGGTTCCCCTCACACATATGTGCTAGTCATTCCCGACTCTAGGGGGCGGTGCTCATCTCCATTTCAAAGCCGAAGAGCCAGCGCTGTCCGAAGACGTCTCCGTGGTCATGTGGCTGGCATGATTAAACGCCAAACGCTGTTACCTTCCCACCAAAGGTGGTCTCTGTTTTTCTACTTGCATTTTTTACATGCTTTCGAACTGCTAGGTTGGCAGAAGCTGGGACAAGGAACGGGCGCTCACCCCATTACGCAGCACTAGGGATTCAAACCGCTGAACTGCCGACCTTTCGTTTGACAAGCTCAGCGTCTTAGCCACTGAGCCATCGCATCCCGCTATGTGGATGTACTGATAAACCTCTGGATGATGTGGAATTTAGGAGAGTCAGTTTGTTCTAGTGGTTAAGATACCAGACTAGAAAGCAGGAGACCCGGATCTGGCCCGCGGGCCTTGGTTGATACCCCTGCCCTAGAATAAAGAAGCAATTTTCCCTGTTAAACCTCATCGGGCAGTTCCATAATTGGAAAAGGGCATTGGGTGCCATTGAAAGCAAAACTAGGTGGCCACTTTTAGAAGCTGAGCTTGGAGGGGTCTACAGTGCACGTGTGATACACCTTAAAAAAATAGGCATAGCTGCCATCTTGACTTTTATTAGCACAAGTTGCTGGTGCGTGTATGTATATGCTGCTTTGCAAAACCCTTCAAAAGGATTGCTTTCCAATTTAGCCCCAAGTACCAATCCTCCAGAAATTAGCTAATTTTGATAACTCTCCGCTGGTTGCTAAAGATAGTACAAGAGCAGGCTGGGAATTCTGAGTGTTGTAGTCCACACATCTTCAAAGTTGCAAAGTTTGAGAAACCCTGATGTTGTAAATAACCTGGAAAACATGGCAGGCTAAAATGGCATTGCTGCCCTCTGCTGGTTATATATAGATTAGTACATAGAACAGTATTGTCCCAAAGGTGTTTTTTCAAGAGGCAACTGGACTACCTGGTTTTCCTTTGAAGACGTTTGGCTTCACGTCCAAGAAGCTTCTTCAGCTCTGACTGGCCTTAAAGACTCGCTAGGAGAATGCAAATGACAAAATGTACAAAAATTTATCACCTAAATGCTGGAACTGTGACCAAATACTGGGCACCTACTACCACATGTGGTGGACATGTAGAAAAGCAAAAGAATATTGGCAAAGGATTCAACGGTGGTTGGAAGAAATGAAGCATTTTTATAATAAATGTATTTTTAGCTGTTAAGGCTATTTGCAAGTTAGTTCAGATAAATCAGAACAAAGCAATTCAACGAAACTGAAATAACACTATAAATCGAGGTCTTCGTTAAAGATGTATCTCCTCTCGAACTCCAGTTTTTCCAGGACACTGTAGGTAATAAATAAATTATGTTACTTGAGAAGCTTATATAATCTTAAACGGATCGACAGAGTAATACATTTAATCTAATTTCATTCGATGAAAAAATATAAATGACCTCACTTCTAAATAGCTACAGAAATATATTTCCTAATATCAAGTCGCCATGATTTGAGTTCTCCAGGAAAGCTCCAACTAAATGGGATACCCATTTTTGAGTAATCCTGTTTTAAAGTCATTTAAGATGGTTTCACAAGGTCTGGATGGCACCTAATTAAAGCGGAGTGAAAATTTCAGATGAGATCGTTGAAAAGATGCCTTTAATAGCTTTAAAGATTAGGCTAGAAACACCACCAGAATGTTTCCTTCCTGCCTTCCTTACAGGATTAGCCCTGTAAAGTGGGAAAAAAACAAAATAAGATTTCTTCCAAGAACCGTTTCTCCGAACTGCTTAGAAAGTTAACAACTGGTTCTACCAAATAGGTGCGAACTGGCTGAATCCCACCACTGGCCCCATGGCCCTCTCTAGCTCCATTTTCACTGGCAGAGGCACCGCGGACTGGTCGTTCGCTGTTTCCAGGATGGCCCCATGGGCCAGATCCGACTTGCGGGCCTTTTGTTTGACATCCCTGGCCTACAACAAATGGTTGTTGAGCCTTCAAAATGTTGCTGTACGACAATTCCCAGCATCCCTAAAGCTGTGTTTTAAAGCTTTACCTGGGTCACTCAGTGCTTCTGGTCTGGATTGCTTGCTAGCTGGTGGGGCGAGAAGTGAGGAAAAACAGAAAAGATAAATCATTTGGCCACTCTGATTTTGAATGAAATTACATTTTATATAAACGTTCGGAGACTTACTGATTCTTCCCTCTTCCCTGACTCTTGTCTTCACTACTTCCAGGCTGGAGGGCGGGGAGAGAATATCAGAAAGTACAACGTAAGTGGGAAATAGGATTTTAGGCAACATCGAGCGTCTTTGTGGTACCCTTCTTACATCTTACCGTGCTGTCTGGATACTTCTGGCTTTGATCTGTAGAATCTCTAGAGGGAGGAGGCTGGAGAGTGGAGAAAGAACAGAAATTTGTGGCCAATTCTGACTTGGAATAAAATCAAAATATTTCCTACAGAGAGCCAGTTGAGACATCAGGATAGAAACTGGAGGACTGTGAATTCTAGGCCTACTTTAGGCACAAAGTGTTGTGGCCCACCAGCAGCCAGCAGAGCTGGCAGCAGATTCAGATAGTGAGGAGGTTGGGGAGGAACATGGGCCAGTCCTGGAGTCTGGGGAAGACTCTGATGAGGGCTCGGCATCGGAGGCAGAGAGAGAGCCAGGGCCGTATGCCAGTTATCAGCTGCCTTCGGAGTCAGACATCAGTGAGGCAGACAAACAGCTGGAGCCTGTTCCCAGAGTGCGCATGTGCAGAGATGCCAGATGAAGGGAACAGCTAAAGAACAAGGGTCGACTTGGGAGTAAGGCCACAGGTGGACGATGAATGGCCCCTCCCAGAGAGAATAAAAGAGGAGCGAAAGGGGAGTGGAGACTCTTTGAAGATATCAGCCTGGCAGCTCTCCAAGCCAGATAAGATCTGTGACTGTAAATTCTCCCTTGAAAAATTTTGCTGAAGGTGAATGAGAGGAATTCTCAGTAACTTAATAAAAGGGGTTTTTTGTCGGGACAAGGAGCCTGCTTCATGCTCTTGGGAAACTTAGATCAGAACACAAAACCTGCTGGTAACCTTGAGCCAATCACTCTCTCTCAGTTCTGGAAGCAGGCAATGGCAAGCTGCTTCTGAAACACCTTGCCAAGTAAACCACAGAGACTTTTCCACACAGAATTCGAGAACAACTGAATAGAAGAGGGGGAAAAAGTTCCCATAAAGATTCAGCTTGGTGGCTGCATGATGTCCTTTGACCTGACTTGAGAAGCAGAAAGGACATGGGCCCAGTGTCAACCCTGAAGCTGGTCTGGCTGAAGCCATCTTGGAGCTTCAGTGTTGCCACACAGGAGCGAGGGACAGGGAGGAGGGGATTAAAACTAGCTGGGGTTGTGTAGCCAAAATAAAATACTTTCCCCTGGGGACCAAGGGCATTCTCACACCTGGCCGGAGGCCGGAGGAGTGATGTCACTAGACCTGAGCACATTGTAAGCCGCCCTGAGTCTTCGGAGAAGGGCGGCATATAAATCAAATTTAAAAAAAAAAAAAAAGACCTGAGGACACTGCCATGATTGGACCCTGTGTGACTGATTGTTTGAGTTTGAGGGAAGAACTTTTATTTAGGTGAAAACCAAGGGGCCCTTCAGAGCTGGTTTTTACCAAATATGTGCCAATTTGATATTTCCAATAAAGCTATTCTTTGAGGAATTCACCTGCCTCGGAGTTTTTGCTTCCAATGGATCTATTCAGTGGTGGAATTCAAATTTTTTTTACTACCGGTTCTATGGGCATGGCGTGTGCGGTGTGGCTTGGTGGCAGTAGTGGGTTTTAATTTTGTTCGCTTGTGGGCGTGCGTGCGTGCGCACAACACTTCTGCACATGTGCAGAGATGTCGGATCAGGTGGGCAGAGCCTCCTATTGCCGCCGTTACCAGCTTGGTGGGCGTGGCAGGGGAAAGATACTGCAAAATCCCCATTCTTACCCCACCTCTGGGGCCACCCAGAGGTGATATTTGCCGGTTCTCCAAACTACTCAAACTTTTTGCTACCGGTTCTCCTGTCAGAACCTGCTGAATAGCACCCCTGGATCTATTACTTGGAACCCTGATACCCAGATGTTCTGGCATTGGTCATGTGGACGTGGATGAAAAGCTGCATCCTTTCTTGTGTTTTCCAGGTGAGTGACCAGGTAAAATCAATGCTTTCAGCTTTACAGAAGGTTAGGGTACCCTTTTAACTCATTAGCTGCTCCCCCAATAGAAAAATCAGCCCACTTTGAATGGATGCAATAGGATGCATCCATTCAACCTGTGGTCCACAGACTCCGGTGGGGGGGCTGTGATGTCATCACGGGGTTCCCGAAGGCTTGAAGAAATGTTATGATTTAAAACTTGGGGGCTCCGTGGCCATGGTCCGTGGCCACAAAAGGTATTTAAAGGGAGTCCATGGTGAAAAAAAGGTTGAGAACCACAGCTTTAAGCAACACATTGGCCAAGGGTTGCCAAATCCAGGTTAAGAGACTCACCACGCTCCTTCCATAGTTTTGGCCAGAATCCGATTCAGTCTAAAGAAGGAGAGACAAAGAAGACAATACAAATCAGGTGGATGGTTCAGACCTGGAGGACAATCAGTGGTGTCCAATCTTGGGGACTTTAAGACTTGTGGACTTCCATTTCCCACAATTTTCCAGACTGCTAATGACCAGATGATTTCAAAGAAGTACAATCCTATCCGCCCCCTGCCCATCTTGTCAGTATCCTTCTGTTTTCCCCCAACCATCCAATTATAACTGATGAAGCTTCTTGGATAAGAAGGGAAACATCTTCCTCTTTCTCAATTAAAAAAAAACAACAGTCGAGTTGCCTTCTGAGAGAAGAAGAAAGCACCTTTCAGACAACTATGGCCTGGATTATTGAGAATCTCCATAGACCAGGGGTGTCAAACTCAAGGCCTGGGGGCCAGATCTGGCCTGCAGAGTGCATAGATCTGACCCCCAGAGCCGCCCTGGAAACAGCAAAGGTGGTGGCCAGTGGTGCCTCTGCCAGAGAAAAGAGGCTCCTGAGTTCGGTTTTCGGCTGTGACAGCTTCCTGCAACCCTCTAAGGTTGCAGGAAGTTGTTGCAGCCGAAAACGGAGCTCAGGAGCCTATTTTCGCTGGCAGAGTACTCGGGCCACCACAGGCACCTCCGACATGAGTGACGTCAAGCTGGTCATGCCCACCATGGCCACACCCACCATGGCCCCCCCAAGGTCAAACACAACCATGATGTGGCCCTTAATGAAACTGAGTTGGACACCCCTGCCATAGACCATTGGAAGAAGGAGTCTGAAAGAAGTATGGGCAACTTGTAGCCTACATGTGATTCTTAAATCCATCCACCTCCCAGACCCTGCAAGACAACACAGAGATGACAGTGCTGAAATTGAATCGCTCAGTTTTAAACATGAATATGGATATGCCTTGTTTTAGGGATTACTTGTAAACTGGCAAAAATCATCCACCAACCCCTGCTTCCACATGGCCACAAATGTGGCCCCGTGTCCGATGACTTCCTCCTATTATCAGAGTGTTGTGGCCCGCCAGCGGCCTGCGTGGATTGTGGCTAATCTCGATGACAAGGAGGCTGGTGTGGGGTCACGCCAGCAGCCTGCGCAGCCGGTGCTCGCATCGGACAGTGAGGAGGCTGAAGAGGATATGGTGCCAGAGGCAGACACTCAGCCAGGGCCTTCAGAACCTCCAGAGGCTCCTTCAAGTGGAGAGAGTGAAGTAGAGGAGCCTCTCCTCAATGCTCAAGCACACAGGGCTGCCAAAAGGCAGGAGTGGCTACTCAGGAGGAGGAGAGTAAACCTCGAGAGTAAGGTTTGAGGATAATTGGCCACTCCCTTAGCCTATTTAAGTTGCAGGCAGTTAGTAATTTCTTGCTGGAAACAACGTGTAATTATTACAGAGCATTTTGGAGAGTGAGTGTCTTATCGTATCTTGTTTTCTGGACTGGCTGCCAACCTTTGCCGGACTTTGTTTATTCTTGGTACATTATAACTTTGATAAGGACCATTGGTGTGTGTCACAATCCTTGGGAATCCGGAGCTGGGGCAGAACACAGAGGATGTAAAAGATGCTGTGGCGCAGTGGTTAGAATGCAGTATTGCAGGCTAATTCTGTCGACTGCCAGAGGTTCAATCCTGACTGGCTCAAGGTTGATTCAGTCTTCCATCCTTCCGAAGTGGGTAAAATGAGGACCCAGATTGTTGGGGGCAATATGCTGATTCTGTAAACTGCTTAGAGAGGGCTGTAAAGCACTATAAAGCGATATATAAGTCTATTGCTATGGCTATGTTCTGCAATGCTTAGGAAAAAAATGAGTCCCCATTTTGTTTTGTTTTTTTAAAAAACACCTCTTTAGTCCCCTCATACAATCTTACCAAGTCTGACTGCAGTAAGGGATCTTGGTGAGCAATTCCTCCAGACTAGGAGAGAGAAAGATGGGGAAAAATAGTGAGTAGAGAAACTCAGTTGTTGGAGAATATCTGTCGCATTCTAATTGTGTTACGGTATCCCTTTGTCAACACCTTTCACTACCTCGGGTGTGGAAGAGAGAATTTCGATTATGACCAACAATTGGAGATGGATCCTTGGTTCTCTCTGAGCTTGGTTGTTGCAAATGTTTCTATTATTTTTGCAGGTGTTTTATTACCAAACTGTTCTGACTCAGCTCTCCAAACACGACAAACCATCTGAAGTGAACTCAAAAGATTCCTTTATTAGGAGTGCCAGCAGCCTGGGCAAAAAGTTTCTCCCTTAGGCTGACAAGTCCGTCCGGTTGGAAGATGAATAGTTGTCTGCCACATCTATTCATCTCCGCCCCCTGCCTTTTATCCCCAGAGCTAGGGTGTGGCTTCACTAGCAGCAGTAGCTCTTCCTTCCCAAGGATCGGCCCATGGATTTCCACTGCTCTCCTCTCCTCTGCCTTCTGCATATCCACACATCAGGCACTGGACCCAGCTGTTCCTCCTCTTCCTCATCAGCCACCTCCAGACCTGGGGGTTGTTGACTCTTGATCTGAGAGCTGATGAATGGCCCAGGCTCCACCTCTGTCTCTCTCTCTCTGAGAGCTCCATTCCCTCTTCCCCCTTGGAGCTCCCAGGTTGCCCTGAAGCTGACCCTGACTCCCACGCTTCCTCCTCCTCTGATTCAGCTGCTGGAGGGGCCGGCGGCCGACAAGCCACAACAAAACTAAGTAGCATCATCAGTGCATCTCTTGTTATCTTTCGGGATAACGAGCTTTCTCTTTTTTTCAGCCAATGATATCCCTAGTATTCCGCCATCTTTTTTGCAGTTGTTTGGTTGTTTACTACCTTGGACATCAACTAAAAACACTGTCCAATAGTGTATCCAATTTCAACGCCCTGCCTCAAACACCCACAAGAGGAGCCCAACAGCATTAAGAGATTGGCAGAGGACAGGGTCAACTCTGAAGCGAATCTGGCTGAAGCCATCTTGTGCTCCCTCAAAGTTGCCACGAAGCCTGAGAAAGAAAAGGGGGGGGGAGTATAGACCAGCAGATCCGTCAAAACAAAAAGTTTTCCTGTGGGAACCAAGGTCATCGTAACAGGTGGTTGTGAAAGGAGAAGAGGAGTGACCAAAGAGCCTGCCAGCACTTTCATTGGACAATGTGACCAGTGACATCTGGGAGGGGGAAAACTTTTACTCTTTTAATTAGGTGAAAACCGTGGGAACTTTTAGAGTTGGTTTTCACCGGCTGTGCCAATATGATGTATCCAATAAACATGTTCTTTGAGAAATCTACCTGCTTTGGATTTCTGCTTTCGATGGGTGTGTTACTCGGAACACTGACAAACAGATTGTAATATAAGATCTGTATAGTCCAAGCTATGGTTTGCCCAGTAATAATGTATGGCTGTGAGAATTGGATCATATGGAAGGCTGAGCGCCAAAGCATTGTTGCTTTCTAATTGTGGCATTGGAGAAGACTCTTGGGAGAGTCCCTGGGACTGCAAGGAGATCAAATCAGACAATGCTAAAGGAAAGCAACCATGACTGGAAGGACAGATATGGAACCTCAAATATTCTGGCCACCAAATGAGAAGAGAGGACTCACTGGAAAAGACCCTGAGGTTGAGAAAGATCGAAGGGAAAAGGAGAAGAGGACGGCAGAGGATGAGATGGTTAAGATAGTGTAATTGATGCAGTGAATATGGATTTGAGCAAACTCTGGCAGACAGTAGGGGACAAAAGGGGACCTGGTGTGCTATGGTCCATGAGGTCAGGAAGAGTTGGACGAACTTAGTGATTGAACAATAAAGATTGTATATGCGTATGGATATGCACAATACCTACAAATGGACATTTACATGCCAGTGGTGAAATCCAATTTTTTTTACTACCGGTTCTATGTGTGTGGCTTGGTGGGCGTGGCTTGGTGGGCGTGGCAGGGGAAGGATACTGCAAAATCTCCATTCCCATCCCACTCCAGGGGAAGGATACTGCAAAATCCCCATTCCCTCCCCACTCCTAGAGGAAGGATATTGCAAAATCTCCATTCCCACCCCACTCCAGGGGAAGGATACTGCAAAATCCACATTCCCATCCCACTCTGGGCCAGCCAGAGGTGGTATTTTCCGGTTCTCTGAACTGCTCAAAATTTCCGCTACCGGTTCTCCAGAACCTGCTAGATTTCACCCCTGATACATGCCCAGATATATTGCTATTATCTCCTTACCAAAGTTATTCGACGAGTCTGAAACTTTTCTGGTTGGCTTTCTGATAGCTACAAAACAAGGAAAAAGGATCAAATATCACAATAGAACCACAGGTAGTCCTCGACATACAAACATTCATTTAGCAGCCATTCAAAGTTACAATAGCATTGACAAAAATGACTTCCAACCGTTCCTCACCCTTAGAAACATTGCAGAATCCCCACAGCCAAGTGATGAAAATTCGGCCACTTGGCTACCAGCACTTGAAATGTCCCATGGTCATGTGAATGCTATTTGCAACCTTCCCAGTCGGCTTGGGACAAAAGAAGTCAATGGGAAAGCCGGATTCACCTTAACAACTGCATAATTCATGTAACAACTGCAGTTATTGGCTTAACAATTGCGCCAAAGGGAGGTCATAAAATAAGGCATATCTCACTTAATGACCATGTTGCTTAGCAATAGAAATTCTGGTCCCAATTGTGGTCGTAAGCTGAGGACCACCTGCATAGCTGTGTTAAAATTTGTCTAGTGGCTGACTTGCTATACTTACCCTCTTTCTCATAAAATAAGACATCCCCTGATAATAAGCCCAATCGGGCTTTTGAGTACATGCGCTAAAATAATCCCCCCCAAATAATCCCTCCCCTGAAAATAAGCCCTCCCCGAAAATATTTAAATGCATGCACAGCCAGTCCCCACCATTTCCTCTGGTTAGGGTTAGGGAAACAGAGCTGGAAATCAGGTAAGATGGCAAGAAGAGCCCCATCTTGCTCCATGCACCCCAAAATAATAAGACATCTCCAAATATAAGGCCAAGCACTTATTTTGGGGTTCAAAAAATATAAGACAGGGTCTTATTTTCAGGGAAACATGGTAGTTTTAATCTTGGGTACATTTTTAGTGTGTTAACGCACTGTGCAGACCAATAAAACAAATCATGTTTCTAACTGAGTTACGTGCACTCTATAAAGTCAGATATTAAGAGTAGAGGCAAATAGGAGAGAAAGAGAGAAAGGGATGTTCAAATCCAAGTGTGCATGGTTATGTCATTATCAAGAAAGCATCCTCCATATCGTAGACCTCCATATCGCATATCCTCCATACCACCATATCCATAGAACTAAGGATGTTGGGAATTATCCTCCAACACATCTAAGAAGGTACTGGTTTGGGATGGCAGACGCAAAGTAGAAGTTTTCTCCTTTGCTCCTCCTTCTCTGTCCACTGTATAACAGTGGTACCTTGGTACTCAACTGCTTTGAAACTCATCAAATTTGATACTGCATTTTGACACCAAATTTCTGTCCCAGTATTCATCAATTGTTTGGTACTTGACACACAAGCTAAAACTTGCCAGAGGCAACTGCCTTGTCACTCAATACGTTATGCCTTATGGGAAAAAATTGTTTGGTACTCATCGTTTTTGGTATTCATCACACTTCCCGGAACCAGTTAACAATGAGTACCGAGGTACCACTGTACGTGAGAATGCTTTCAATCCATGTCTTTGACTTTTGGCATGTGTCTGTAAAGCAGAATGCCTACCTGAAGAACCCAAGCACCATGTGAGTTGCTAAGAGCCTCTGTGATGCAGTTAGATTAGGAGTGAGAAGACCGAGGTTTTGGTCAGCCTCAACCATGAAACTCATGAGTGATTTTAGAGAGTCCCTCTTTCAATTCCAATCTATTTTACAGGTTGTTGTGGGAGAGGATGGGACTATGTAAGCCACCTTGAGCTCCTCGGAGAAAGATAGGCTATAAATCTAAAGAAAGAGGTGGAGGAGGAATCCCGCCTCACCCCAAAACCCCAAGTAGGGCCCTTAGAGCCCCTCCAAAAGCCAAGAACAGGCCTTGCCCTTTATTCATAAAAGACTTGGTGAACCAACGCTCAGTTTCTCAAGTTTGAGTCAGTGAAACTCAACAAGTTGAAAAATTCTTGTGTCAACATGAACGTGCATGGAACATCTATTTTGAAAGACTATATTTCCTCTGGATCTAAGTGTGGTACGTAACGTCTCCCCCACAATGACTGAAGGAAGAGCCACCCATGAAACTCTTACCGAGCTCTTTTGTTGTTTATCAAATTTTGCTGGCTAGAGAAGGGAGAAACAGTGAAAATGAAGTTGACAAGTGGCAAAGAAGAATGGTACAAATGAGACTTTTCTGGAAGGGTTGGCTGAATCCAGGGCTTAGATACTACGTCCTATTTCCCCTCTTTCCTAGGTTTACATGCACTCTTTCTAAAATCTTCCTTCCATTCCTCCATCCATAGCAATTGCAATAGCACTTAGACTTATATACCGCTTCATAGTGCTTTTACAGCCCTCTCTAAGCGGTTTACAGAGTCAGCCTATTGCCCCCAACAATCTGGGTCCTCATTTTACCCACCTCGGAAGGATGGAAGGCTGAGTCAACCTTGAGCCTGGTGAGATTTGAACTGCCGAACTGCAGCTAGCAATCAGCTGACGTAGCCTGCAGTACTGCACTCTAACCACTGCGCCACCTTGGCTCTAGTCGGTCCATCCATCCATCCATCCTTTCGTTTTAAAAAGTACATGCCTCACATTTGTATTTTGTGACTCCAAGCGACTTAACAAAATCTAAAATTCAGTCAGAAATATCAGCAGCAACCAACCTGTTGTGGCCCCGCCCTCTGAGCCTAACTCATCGGAGAAAGAAAGCTCCGAACATGAGGGATAGGAGTCAGCCAGGCCTCCCTCTCCAGGCCCCTCCCCTCTGGCACTGTCTCAGGTGCTGGCCGAGGGAGAGGAGATTAGCCAGGAGCCAGGTGTCTCGGATGAGAGCAAATAAGGAGAGCCGTCGTTCCTGGATGCACGCCAACGAAGGCGTGATAAACGGTTGCAGCAATTAAGGAGGGGTGGTAGGGATTAGAACTGAGTCACTGGACCACACCCCAGAGACTATATAAGAGAGGGTGGTGGCTGGTAAAACTCTGTGACGAACAAAAACTAATTCTGGCTAGTCATTTGAACCACGTCTGAAGCTGCCGAAGGGATATTGTTTTGCTGGACTATTTGCAATGTGTATGTAATTTTATGTTATCTGTTGCAGTAAAGCTCTTGGCAGACGGTGCTTATATTGTTGCCAAGTTTGAGATAACGACCTGTGTGCGTGCCAAGTACTTACTTAACCCTTGGCTGGCTGTGTTTGTGTGTGTGTGTAGACGGGGACAGATCACAACCAACCAAACATTCATTCATTTATTTTGGGAGAAGGAATGGCAAAACCTGGGGGAGGGATGGAAAAGAGAGCTTAGCCTAGAATCCCTACGTAGCCACAAGCAAACTAAGCCCAACCCCCCCCTTACCTAACTCTAATCAGATGCTGACTGTTAGTTGAGAAGATTCTTGAACATAGGCCTTTAGCAATAAATTGGGTTCATTGAATCTTCATTCTGGCCTGGTCATTCGTGCCCAACATTTATCCATTGTCTGGCTTTGGATGTAGAAAAATGGACAGTTTCTAATCTGCTGTGTCACCCTGTCTCATTGGGCTCTTTGCTGACCAATAGGAGAAAGGCAGATATAGCCCAAAAGTCAGTCCAATATTCTTACCAAAGTTTGTCGGCGGCCTAATATTTCAGTTTCATCCATCTGCAGGGCAGGAAAACCAGAGAACACAAGATGTCAGGATTTAATGTGAATGTTTCATCCTTTCCCCTTTGAGTTCTAATGCTCTCCAGGTTATGAGAGATGAACAGGACCAGGATGAGACCTTATGCTCACTAGGCATGTACAGAGTCTCAGAGTCCCATCTCCTTTTGCAACCCACAAAAGCTCCTTCTGACCACAGTCATTCATCATTCCCACCATTTTCAGGCAGAAAATACTACATCTGTAATGCAAACACTGCAGTGCATTCAATATAGTTTTAAAAAAGAGGGGGGGAAATATTCCACCTCCACCACCACCCCCCAAATCCTACAAGTGTGTTATTCACTTTGAATTATTTGCTCACCCATTGTGGGCCTTGCCACAGGCATCCTGTAGAAGCCAAAATTTGATCTGCATACTAGAATAACAGAGTTGGAAGGGACCTTGAAGGTCTTCTAGTCCAACCCCCTGCTTAGGCAGGAAACCCTATACCACTTCAGACAAATGGTTATCCAACATCTTCTTAAAAACTTCCAGTGTTGGAGCATCTACAACTTCTGGAGGCAAGTTGTTCCACTGATGAATTGTTCTAACTGTCAGGAAATTTCTCCTTAGTTCTAAGTTGCTTCTCTCCTTGAGTAGTTTCCATCCATTGCTTCTTGTCCTGCCCTCAGGTGCTTTGGAGAATAGCTTGACTCACTCTTCTTTGGGGCAGCCCCTGAGATATTGGAACACTGCTCTCATGTCTCCCCTAGTCCTTCTTTTCATCAGACTAGATATTATTTATTTATTTATTTATTTATTTATTTATTTATTTATTTATTTATTTATTTATTTATTTATTTATTTATTTATTTATGTACATACGTACTTATTTGTTTATTTATTTGTTGGAATTTGTCAAACAAAAATTAGAACAAGAATAAGAGAATAAAAATACAATGACAGGGACGATAGGCATGTTAGTGCACTTATGCAAGCCCCCTCTACTGACCACTTAAGAATGAAGTAAAGTTCACAGAAGTCAATTTGTGACATACCCAGTTCTAGCAACTGTTCTTTATCTGTTTTAGCCTCCAAACCCTTAATCATCTTTGTTGCTCTTCTCTGCACTCTTTCTAGAGTCTCAACATCTTTTTTACATCGTGGCGACCAAAACTGGATGCAATATTCCAAGTGTGGCTTTACCAAGGCATTATAAAGTGGTATTAACACTTCACATGATCTTGATTCTATCCTTCTGTTTATGCAGCTTAGAACTGTGTTGCCTTTTTTGGCAGCTGCTGCACACGGCTGGCTCATATTTAAGTGATTGCCCACTAGGACTCCAAGATCCCTCTCACAGTTACTACTATTGAGCAAAGTACCACATATACTCTCTTGTGTGTGTATATCTTGTATGTCGTGAGTTACCCAGAGTCACGTGATTGAATTGGGCAGCTATAGAACTATGAATGAATGAATGAATGAATGAATGAATGAATGAATGAATGGATGTGATGTGATGATATAAATGACATGAGTTGTCCCCCAGGAGATTAACAGATTAACAGAGTTGGAAGGGACCTTGTAGATCATCTAGTCCAACTCCCCACCCAAGCAGGAGACCCTACACCACTTCTGGCAGATAGCAGTCCAGTCCCTTCTTGAAAGCCTCCAGTGATGAAGGTCCCACAACCTCCAAAGGCAACTTCTGTTCCATTGGTTGATTGTTCTCACTATCAGAAAATTTCTCCTTATTTCCAGGTTGAATCTCTCCTTGATCAGTTTCCATCCATTATTCCTTGTCTGGCCTTCGGGTGCCTTGGAAAATAGTTTGACCCCTTCTTCTCTGTGGTAGCCCCTCAAATATTGGAACACTGCCATCATGTCTTCCCATGTCCATGGCCCTCCTCCCCAAAAAAATAAGGTGTAGCCACCAGGTACCAAAAGGAATTTCATCACTGCTTTAGTAACTTAAATACAGAGACTGAGTCATTATAGAATTAGAGAGCTCTTGTCACTACCCCATTGACACATAGCCTAGTACACAATTTAAATTGTGTCAAATGTGAAGTGACCCCAGGCCCCCCAAGGCGACTCTTCTACTCACTGCGGACTGTCGTAAGGCTCTCATGGCTGCTGATTTTACCTCTCCTTTCTGGTACTCTCTCTCAAGTAAGTGTGACTGTCCAAGAAAGACACCCAAGAAAAAAAAAAAGATGAGCAAGGAATCCAGGATGATACAAGTTATGCATACATGAACAGTATAATTGCAGGACATTATGAAAAAGAAATAAAATACCTAATTATTCATATACTAAGGGCAGCATGGATAGTTTGTGCTCAGAGCTGGAAGCATGAAGATATACCAACAGAAGATCAAATAATTAGCAAAATCATGGAATGTGCAGAAATGGACAAACTTACAAAAGAAATACAGGAAAAGGAAGAAACGGATTATTATTTAGTATGGCAGAAATGGTATAATTGGTTGGAGAAAAAGAAAGGAAATTAAATAAATAGGGATACAAAAGAGAGGGCATAACTCATGGATAACAATTGAGTACTAACTAAGGAATATAGTAAATTAAATACATTGATTAAGAAAATCCAAGGAGATGATGTATTGGGAATATATATATATTGTTTTATACATAAATATATTGATATATAGATACGAACACAAATATAGTCTACCGATGTGACAAGTTTGAAAAAGAAGTCACAAAGACTTGATTCATGTTTATTTGTTGTGTATGTTTTATTGTTGTATGTATGTTTGTTTGTATTTTTTGTATTTTAATCAATAAAAATTAAAAAAGAAAAGAAAAAGAAAAGTGTAATTGTATTTTATTCTGAAACCACAGTAGTTGTGTTCACACAACATATTGAGCTCCTAGAAACAACAGGTTGTATATTTGTATACAGGTGGTCCTCGATTTACAGCAGTTCACTTAGTGACCATTCAACGTCACTGAAAAAAAGTGACTTATGACCGTATTTGACAGTTATCCCCGGCAGCATCCCCAGGGTCATGTGATCAAAATTCAGATGCTTGGCAACTGCCTCATATTTATGACGGTTGCAGTGTCCCAAAATCACGCGATTGCCTTTTGCCACTTTCTGACCGGCAAAGTCAAGCCAGATTCACTTAACAACCGGGTTACTCACTTATCAACTGCAAGTGAGTCAGTTGACAACAGTGGCAAGAACGGTCGTAAAATGGGTCAAAGCTCACTTAACAAATATCTCACTTAACAACAGAAACTTTGGCCTCAATTGTGGTCATAAGTCGAGGACTACCTGTACTTGCCCCCCCCTCCCCCCAACATTGTCATTCAAGACACAGGGTTGAAACCGTACCTTCTCCAGATTCATCAGCGTTGAGAGAACATCCCCAGTCTTTGCATAAATGGTTTGGTTGGCAATCATCGTTTCTGAAATGTTTGCCCCGCGGATGTTTCGTAGAACAATCTCCTGCTCGTGATCGACATTGAACTTGAGGGACCTCACCTCCTGGACTATGCTGTGGAGATCAAAAATCCATAAATCAAATAAACTTGGGGATCATTTCCATGAATTACATTGGCACCAAGCAGTGGTGAAATCCAAATTTTTTTACTACCGGTTCTGTGGGCATGGCTTGGTGGGCATGGTGTGGCTTGGTGGGTGTGGCTTGGTGGGCGTGGTAGGGGAAGGATACTGCAAAATCCCCATTCCCACCCCACTCCTGGGGAAAGGATATTGCAAAATCTCCATTCCCACCCCACTCTGGGGCCAGCCAGAGTGGTATTTGCTGGTTCTCCAAACTACTCAAAATTTCCGCTACGGGTTCTCCCGAACCTGCTGGATTTCACCCTTGGCACCAAGTAACATGGAACCCTGAGCAGTGCTTCAACATTTTAAAATAGACTTGCAGGTCTGGAGTATAGATCAGTGATGTCAAACTCAAGGCCCTTGGGCCGGATCTGGCCTACGGGGTGCTTAAATCTGGCCCACGGAGGAACAGCGAAGGACCAGCCCGTGGTGCCTCTGCCAGCAAAAACAGAGCTCAGGAGAGCTGCGGGTAGAGGGTTGCAGGAAACCGTCACAACCTAAAGCGGAGCTCGGGAGGGCCACAGGTGGCCTTCCCCAGCTTCGTTTTCGTTAGCAGAGGGTTGCAGGAGGCTGTCGCAGCCAAAAACGGAGCTTGGGAGTTTGTTTCCTCTGGCAGAGCGCTCGGGCCACCACAGACGGGGTGGGTTCTACTTACCTTTACTACCGGTTCGCAGCAGAGCAGCGCGCACGTATTTGCTTTGCTCGTGCGCACACACGCTCTTCTGCGCATGCACAGAAACATTTTGATGATGTCAGGGTCGGTGGGCGGAGCCTCCCACCGGTTTTACTACCAGTTCTATAGAACTGGTGCGAACCGGGGGCAACCTACCACTGTACCACAGGTGCCCCCAATACAAGTGATGTCAAGCTGGCCATGCCCACCCTGGCCACGCCTACTCCGGCCCTCCACGGTCAAACACAACCCTGATGCAGCCCGCAATGAAATCAAGTTTGACACCCGTGGTATAGACAATCTTATCCCTCTCCTATGACTCATTCCCTATGACTATCTAATTAACATCTCTCCATTCCATTTCCGTTGCAAGGAACAACTCTCATGTCAGTTGGACTCAGCAGTGGGTGTGACGGAGCACGTCCTCCTTATAATGTGAAGATGTCTACAAAACAGATAGAACTTGAATCTTAACCCAGCATGACTCTTACTCAGTTAACCGGAGTTCATAGCAAGAAGAACGCAGCAAACTTGCTCCACAGAGACCTGGCCTGAATATACACATAGGGAGCTGGCCGTGGTCCTGTTCTCCTTGGAGCAAACTCAGATGCTTGTTGAACTTTCCCCGGACTCTTCTTCCTCCACCCACTAGATAAGAAAGATTCGTTCCCACTCATGATGGCAGAGGAGGCACACTGTGGGTCCTGTCAGCCTAGTTATTCTAGCTGGTGGAGTCCAGGAAGACGGCCTTCTCTGCTGTTGCTCCTGCCCTCTGGAACCTCTTGCTTGCCCCCGATGTGAGGTTGACCCCAACCTTCCTTTCAGACATGACTCTGCCAGTTGGCTTGCAGACCCAATGGGGGAACAGCATGATGGAGGTGGTTGATCTTGCCCTCCAAAGGTAGTCCTCAACTGCCACCACAATTGAGCCCAACATTTCTGTTGGTAAGTGAGACATTTGTTAAGTGAGTTTTGCCCCATTTTACAACTTTTCTTGCCACGGTTGTTAAGTGAATCAGTGCAGTGGATAAGTTAGTAACCCGGGTGTTAAATGAATTTGGCTTCCCCATCGCCTTTGCTTTGTGAGAAGGTCACAAAAGGGGATCCCATGACCTTGGGACGTAGCAACAGTCCTAAGTAGGAACCAGTTGCCAAGCATCTGAATTTTGATCACAGGATACTGTGGGGATGCTGCAAAGGTCATAACTGTGAAAAATGGTCTTACGTCACGTTTTTCAGTGCTGTTGTAACTTTGAATGGTCACTAAACGAACTGTTGCAAGTCAAGAGCTACCTGTATTTGTTCTGAACATTCAAGGGAGCTAAAATGCAAAATTAAGGATTAAAAAGCAATGTTAAATCTAGTTTAGTGAAAGATGGGTTATCATCCTACATGTATTTTTCTGCCATTCCTTCCTTTCATGTACTAGGCAAAGAGGAAGGAAGGCAGGAAGGAAAGGAAGGAAGGAAGGAAGGAAAAGAAAGGAAGGAAGGAAAGGAAGGATGGAAGGAAGGAGAAAGAGGAAGGAAGGAAGGAAGGAAGGAAGGAGAAAGAAAGGAAGGAAAGGAAGGAAAGGAAGAAAGGGAAGGGAAGGGAAGGGAAGGAGGGAGGGAGGGAGGAAGGAAGGAGAAATTGGAAGGAAGGAAGGAAGGAATTTTAGATAGAAAAGGGCATTACGTCCCCAGTACAATTATATATTTGGAAGTTATTATTACTGTTATTTTTTTTAATTCATATCCCAACTTCCTGTCCAGAAGGCTAATGAGAGCTAACGGTAAAAATATTAAATAAAATTAAACTTAAAACCTGGGTTAATGTGTAAACTAAACGCCATGCTACGAACAACTAAATATAATTACTGCATTCACAGATCATGAAATGTCCAGTTTCACCCAGATCTCAATGTAGCAATCAAATTCTGATATGATTAAGCGATAGGTAACTTGCTAGCTACCTACATTAGAATAGCCTCCATTCTAAAGTGAAAAAAAAAAGCAGAGGAACGGTAAGACTTACTGGTCCAGTTCATCCCTGATCATCTGATATTCCTTTAAGTTCTCGTGGATAGCTTCCAGGACGAGGCAAAGATCTTCACAAGTTGTCTCATTCAAGCTGCCCAAATTGCCAAGGCTGAGCAACTCCTGGTGATGGACCATGGGTGTTGCCTGAATTACTTCCTTTATATGCAACGCTTCTGATTGGGATGTGGTGAAGTCATCATCGGTGCCATCCTGCTCAAAAATCCATATGATTAGGCAGCCCTCTCAACTCACCCAAATATCATAAACCCTCTATGCCAGGGGTGTGAAACTCAAGGCCCGCTGGCCAGATCTGGCCCACTAGGGTGCTTAAATCTGGCAACAGGGCTGGTCTGGAAATAGCAAAGGCCTGGCCCACAGTGCCTCTGGCACCCTGTTTTTGGTCTGGACTGCCTCCTGCAGCACCCTGTCAGCCAAAACAGGGTGCGGGCCGCCATTTTGGCTGGCAGGGTGTTGCAGGAAGTATCCGTCCCATCTCCCCCCACCTGGCCGGCCTGTGAATGAGTACTACAGTGCTGATCTGGCCCTCGAAGAAATCCAGTTTGACACCCCTGCTCTATTCAGTGACCTGCCTCTGTATAAAATTTATCTGAGTTAGCCCCTACAAGTTCCCGTGCCATTTTCAGGGTCTGGGAACTGGACACAATACCCTACACCAGTGGTGAAATCCAATTTTTTTTTTACTACCGGTTCTGTGGGCGTGGCTTGGTGGGCGTGGCATGGGAAGGATACTGCAAACTCTCCATTCCCACCCCTCTCCAGGGGAAGGATACTGCAAAATCCCCATTCCCTCCCCACTCCTGGGGGAAGGATATTGCAAAATCTCCATTCCCACCCCACTCTGGGGCCAGCCAGAGGTGATGTTTGCAGGTTCTCCAAACTACTCAAAATTTCCGCTACCGGTTCTCCAGAACCTGTCAGAACCTGTTGGATTTCACCCTTGGCCTTCTCCCACTTGGCTTCCCCAAGCCTTGATATTACAAACTCACTTCAAATCCAGCGAAGCTTCCAAGGGATGGTAAATTAGTTTTCAACTGCTGCTTCTCTTGATACGCAGTCATAGATTGTTCCAAGTTGGTTGTCACCACAGCCACCAGCAGATTTGCAAAGATGAAAGCCCCAAAGGTGATGAAGATAAAGAAGTAGAGGGCCCCACCTATCTCCAAGGCCAGGCCTTCAGTTCTGCAAAGGAAAGAGGACATGCAGTCATTAAAGGGGCCGTTTGGAAATATCTCAAGGAAATATGGCTCTGAGTCACCGCTTGTTCATCCTACCCCCTTCAGGACCAGCCTTATCTTTATGGACAGGTGACCAAGAGATAAGGCAGGATGGGAGAGAGTAATTATGGCCACAAAGACCCTTCTTTCTGTTGGATAAGAAAGTTGCATTTGATTCCTTCAGACTAAATGCATTGATTGGGTTTTCCAATGCTTTTTAAATTTAATCCTTAAATTAAACTCTACCCAATTCTGGTCACTATGATACAAAAAGATTTTACTCACTCGAAATCATTATAAATATTAATCCATCCATCCTGGGTGATGCAGATGAAAAGAGAATATAGAGCCGTTCCCAGGTTCCCAAAATGCTTTGGAACAAGGGTGCCAAAGAGAGTCACTCCAAACACAGAGAAGACCTGCAAATATACACAGTGAGAATGGTGCAAAAATATCCATTTTCTGGGACATAGCTTCCCCCTTGAATTTGAAAAACACAAGAGAACATTGTAGACCAGCAGTCCTACTCCTCCTTTTCAGGGGAGGGGGGGTGGAGAGGGGAACCGGCCAGGCCACAGGAGTGGCAGGCTGGTGCATACGTGCAACTCAACTTGTAAATAGGCAACAGCCCAGTAGTGGGGACTATCTGAAATAGCCACATACTGTAATTCAATGGCAAAATTAAAGAACCATTTCTCCCCACCCTTCTTTGATACTTTGATTGTCAGGTGCAAAGAATCAAGACCATATATTGTTCAGTTAACTACGTTAAATAGTTCAGAAGATTTATTGGTCAAACCTAGTCAACTAAAGTTGAATATTAAATGGGCACCAGGTAAGAGTCAACAGAACTCCAATAGAATTGGACTTAAGATCGTTTGTGGGAATGTAACGACTCTAGGCTGATGACACATTTAACACTGCCCCTCAACTCTATAGACTATTATTTACAATTCTTAGCTTTTAATCTTTGTATGCTATGCAGAGTCACTGTTGGGAAAAGGGCAGCCATATAAATGATTTAAATATATAAATAAATCTTCCAATTGATTCCAGTTTTCTCCCATCTAGTCCTTTTCAAACACATTGGACTTCAGTCTCGAAAAGCCCCAGCTATCGTTGCTAGCTGGTAATTCTGGAGGGGAAAAAAAATTAAGCTAGAAGACATAACATTGGGGAAGACTAATCTATTAGGATTTTATGCAAACCTCCATCTACATCCTCTATCTGATCTCTTGTATTGCAAATGATGTAGTTTGATCTCGGTATACCTGAGATGGCCAAATTATCAAGGGATGAATGTATTTACTAAAGCTAGGTTTAGGCCCTCAGAATTCTGGTGACATCTCCAAGTTTGACACAGAGAAGTCAAATGTTCCAGCACGGAGAATCAAAAGCTATCTTTTTCTGATCACTTAAATAAAATAAAAAACATGGGGAAATAAATAAATAAACCCAGGAAGCTGAAGGAAATGGGATAAATAAGATCTCAGTTCAGAACAATAACAGAAAATAACAGTTGGAAGGGACCTTGGAGGTCATCTAATACAACCTCTGCTCAGGCAGGAAACCCTACACCATTTCAGACAAATTGTGTCTAATCTCTTTTTAAAAAACTTCCAGTGTTGGAGCATCCACAACTTCCAGAGGCAAGTTGTTCCACTGATTAATTGTTCTAACTGTCAGGAAATCTCCTTAGTTCTAAGTTGTTTCTCTCCTTGATTAGTTTCCATCCATTGCTTCTTGTCCTGCCTTTAGGTGCATTGAAGAATAGGTTGACTCCCTCTTCTTTATGGCAACCCCTTAGATATTAAAGCATTGCTAACATGCCACCCCCTAGTCCTTCTTTTCATTGTCAGTTCATTGCCAGACAAAAGAATTTAACGTAGGGTGTGGAGAGGAGATCTGATGAAGGCATCTTACCAGCATGATGGCAAAAAGTAGGATCATGATATTTGCCATGTCAGGAATGGACTGCAGGATCACCTGTATCATCCTGGCCAAACCACTAACCAAGCTACACACTTGTATCAGCCTCGTGACTCTGGAAGGAAAAATGGAAACGGTGTCCATGAACATTTATATAAAGTTGATAACTCCAAGGAATGTCTTGACTTAAGTCATTCTTTCCCAATCCAATGCCCTTTGGATAATCTGGGTTTCAACTCCCATTGTCACAACCAGCACAACCAACGACCATATTTTTCAAATATGTGGGTTTCAAATCCCGTCGCTACCGGTTCGCTCATGAGTGCGCGTGCACAGAGACGTCTGGGTGGGTGGGCGGAGCCTCCTGCCACTGCCGCTACCAGTTCGCCCGAATCGGGGCGAACTGGTAGCAACCCACCACTTCTCAGTATATTGTCTGAATCCAGGTTATTAGGTTAGTTTATGGTTTAATGCATTGTGAAACCTAGAACACATCCTTTAACTAGCAACAGATGATTAACATCTCTAATGGAGCCTTTCCTTTATTGCTTGATTCTTCTTCTTCTTTTTTTAAACCCAGACAAGTCCAGAAATTGAACCCAAGGTCTCCGTACATGCCAAACATGTATTCTTCCACAGGACGGTGGTTCCTGCCTGTTCCATTACCGCCATCCCGTTTGGCACTATTTAAATCAGTCTATCTGGAAGAATGTAAAATGTATCTTTATATGGTAATAAAAAGAGGTGGGAAGTTAGTTGAGAATCTTCTGAATCACAAACAGCATGAAATACCAGTTGCTAAGAATAAAAGATTAGAATAACAGAGCTGGAAGGGACCTTGGAGGTCTTCTAGTCCAACCCCCTGCTCAGGCAGGAAACCCTACACCACTTCAGGCGAATGATTATCCAACATCTTCTTAATAACTTCCAGTGCTGGAGCATTCACAACTTCTGGAGGCAAGTTGTTCCACTGATTAATTGTTCTATCTGTCAGGAAATTTCTCCTTAGAACTAAGTTCTAGGTTGCTTCTCTCCTTGATTAGTTTCCACCCATTGCTTCTTGTCCTGCCTTCAGGTGCTTTGGAGAATAGCTTGACTCCCTCTTATTTGTGGCAGCCCCTGAGATATTGGAACGCTGCTATCATGTCACCCCTAGTCCTTCTTTTCATCAAACTACATCTATCCAATTCAAGCAACTGTTCTTTATATGTTTTCGCTTCCAATCCCCTAATCATCGCCCTTGCTCTTCTCTGCACTCTTTCTAGAGTCTCAATATCTTTGTGTCCGTCTTTGTGAATTTCCACAGATACATTGGCCATTGGATGACACAGAACAAGGACTAAACAAATCGTTGGCCTGATCCAGTAGAGATCATCTTACTTTTTTGTTTTAGGTCCTTACCTGACCATTCGAAAAAGTGTCTCATTCTCCAATAAAGGAATGACCAAGCCAATGCATAGGTACAACACAATACAAAAATTTATGATATTCCAGCCGTCCTGTTTAGGGAGAGAACAAATCCTTGAGAGACAAAGAAGTGAAGATTAGGTACTGTGTTTCCCCAAAAATAAGACATCCCCTGAAAGGAAACCCCCCCCTGAAAATAAGCCTGTGCTTAAATATTTAAGTGCATGCACAGCTGGTCCCTGCCATTTCCTCCGGTTAGGATTAGACAGAGCTGGAAATCAGGTAAAATGGCAAGAGGAACCTCGTCTTGCTCCATGCACCCCAAAATAATAAGACCTCCCCGAAAATAAGGACAGGCACTTATTTCAGGGTTCAAAAAAATATAAGACAGGGTCTTATTTTCGGGAAAACATGGTATATGGAAGGATGAAGCTTCTCCAAATTCTGTAGTCCGGGAGTAAGGCAAATTTAGGAATTTCAGATCCAAATTGGAAAGCAGAAGTAATCCATCATCAGGGATCTAGATAGAACTTCCTGAGAAGACCTCAGGGAGTTGATCCATTCCATGCTTATACACAGGAGTCTAGTAAATATGAAGAATTTTCTTTCTCTGCACTGAGACTGCACCAGGGGTGAAATCCAGCAGGTTCTGACAGGTTCTGGAAAACTGGTAGCGGAAATTTTGAGTAGTTCAGAGAACTGGCACTAGAGTGGGGTGGGAATGGGGATTTTGCAATATCCTTCCCCCAGGAGTGGGGAGGGAATGGGGATTTTGCAGTATCCTTCCCCTGACATGCCCGCCAAGCCTTGTCCACCAAGCCACGCCCACAGAACCGGTAGTAAAAAAATTTGGATTTCACCACTGGACTCCACACATCAATCATATGTGGGTTACAGCACAGCAACCATTTCTTATATATGCCATCAGCACAATTTTCAACAAGGGAGAGGGCCATTACAAATAATCCTCAATTTACAATCATTGTTTAGTGACCATTACAATGGCGTTGAAAAAAGTGATTTAGGACTATTTTTCTGTCTTACAGCCGTTGCAGCCTCCCCACAGTCACAAGATCAAAATTCAGAATAGCAATAGCACTTAGACTTATATACCACTTTATAGTGCTTAAAGCCCTTTCTAAGCGGTTTACAGAGTCAGCATTTTGCCCCTAACAATCTGGGTCCTCATTTTACCCACCTCGGAAGGATGGAAGGTTGAGTCAACCTTGAGCCTGGTGGGATTTGAACTCCTGAAGGCTGGGGAAGGCCCTGATGAGGGCTCTGCATAGGAGGCAGAGATGGGGTCAGGGCCATCAGGGAGTGATGTGCGGACTCCGGAGCCTCCAGAGGCAGAGGCAGAGGAACAGGAGGAGCCTGTTCCTAGTGCACATATGAGAAGAGCTGCCAGAAGGCAAGAGCAGCTAAAGCAAAGAGGACGACTCAGGAGTAGGGCCAAGAGATGATTGGCCCCTCCCATAAGGCTTAAAAGACCAATAATGGCTCTTGGGCTCTTTGCCAAAAAACAACGTTGATAGTCTTGCTGCACTTATCTCTTGTCGGCATCTTCTGCTTCTGAACTTTTGCCAAGAGAAGCCTTTGGCAGTTTGCCTAATTATACCTAGGTTGGTGATTAGACTGAAGAATTTGTGCTATGAAGAATCTGTTTTAATTTAGTTTGGACAATGCTGAGAATGAGTTAATTCTCAGATGTTCTAATAAAGTCCATTTGTTTTGGAAATGTTTGCGTCGACTACTACTTACTTGGGTCACAACACCGTGTCTCTAACTTACCAACTGCAGTGTTTCGCTTAACAACTGTAGCGAGAAAAGTCATAAAACAGGGCAAAACTGACTGAATGTATGTTTCCCTTAGCCACACAATGTTGGGCTCAATTGTGGTCGTAAGTCGAGGACTACTTGTATGTATCTGTTTGCACCACGTTTCAATGCCTGGATGACGTTTTTCTGGACTAAACTTTAAGACACAACAACACTTGGCCCACTCACCTTCCAATACAAATCAAATCCATAGTACCAGTTGAGGATGACCTCGCAGATCAGAAAAGACAGCACAATCGTGTCAACGGCATTGAATAAGCCAAAGTATTTCTACGCAAGGAAAAGAAAAACAAAAAGAGATTTGCATGCCGACATTTCCCCCCCCCCCAAAAGTTCTCATACCTGGCCTTTAATGGTTGGGTATTGGCCTCATTTGCATGATAATGCTTACATCCGTATGCATGCTAATGAGTCCAGGAAAGAACAGTGAGCTGATTATTTATTTAATTGCTAAATTTATTATTTATTATTATACCACCCATCTTGCCATCAAGCTACTCTGGGCAAGGGTTTAGGGCAGAGGTCTTCAAACTCGGCAGCTTTAAGACTTGTGGACTTCAACTCCCAGAATTCTCCAGCCAGCATAGCTATATAGGGCAGTGATGGTTAACCTTTTTGGTGCTGAGTACCCAAAGCATGCGAGTACGCATGCGGGAATGCACACACACATGCCCGGAACTCCCAAAATGCAATGCGAGCGCCCCTGTGCATGTGCGCATCCCCCACACATGCGCCTACCCCACGCATGCACCATTCCCCCATGCCCCTCCTTTTGGCTTCTGGGTTGGTGCAGGAGGCTCTCAAGGCCCAAAACAGGGCACCCCCCAAATGCAATGCGAGCACCCCCGCACATGCACCCCACCCCCTGTGCATGTATGTATGCGGCCCCTGCATGCGCCCCATGCGCCGCGCATGCGTTGCAGAGACCCAAAGACCAGCTGACCAGCAGGAGGCACGCACGCATGCATGAGTGGTAGAGCTGGGCTGGGGCAACAGCTGGCGTGCCAGGCGACATGGCTCTGCGTGCCACTTTGGCCATGCAAACCATAGGTTCGCCATCACGGGTATAGGGTTTCCTGCCTAAGCAGGGGGTTGGACTAGAAGACCTCCAAGGTCCCTTGCAACTCTGTTATTCTATTCTATTCTATTCTATTCTATTCTATTCTATTCTATTCTATTCTATTCTATTCTATTCTACTCTACTCTACTCTACTCTACTCTACTCTACTCTACTCTACCCTACCCTACCCTACCCTACCCTATCCTATCCTACATTGGTGAGTTTTCCCCATGGCCAGTTGGCCGTGTGGAGTTGTCCTGAAGCAACTGGCAGTGCTGAGTTGACAGGGGTGACTTGGCGGTGATAAGCCGACCCGCCGAGCTGGCTCTGATGAATTGTCCCATTCCGCTAAGGGTCTCTTATAACAGTAAAATGGAAGAAATAATTTTAAAAAGCGTAAACATAACAATAGCAAAGCATTGAAACAATAAAAATAAACAAGGAGAGCACCATAATATGAATGAAAAGATGAGCAGAGGGGAAGCAGGAAGCGCGGGGGGGAGGATCTGGGGTCAGCTAATTTGTCAAGTCCATCCATTAATTTCCTTACTGCAAGGACGGGCACCATTTTTACAGGTAATGAGCCCATTTCTTAACAGCCTGCCAAGGTGGCAGTGCATAAGATTTTCTTCCAGCTCATGGGATCCATGTATTTTTTTTTTACTGTATTATTACATTGGGAAAGTTATAGAGAACTTCTTTTTTAAAAAAATCAAAATAAACATGTTAAGTCTCGAGGAGGTTTTTAGGTCACCTATGTTGAGTCTTTACAAAAAGAATTCCAACGCGCAGCGCTGAGTGTGAACTTTTGCTATCCAATTTCTGTCTCATTCATGGCCCCAAAAAGGAGGCTGGGGGAGGGGGAGGGATCATCAGAAGACCCAGGGCAGTCCTGGGAGAAGCAGGTGGGGGGGTCTTCTCCCACCCCCACATTTTAGCAGGAAGCAGTTCTCCTGCCAGACACAATATACCAACATCTTCCAGCACAGGCTCCGTTCGGAGAGCAATGACGATGGCGTTGCCAATTACAACGGTCGCTAACAGAATCTTGAAAGTGGAATGATGCAGGAACCTGCCCATGCAGGTTTTTGAGATAAATTCTTCCACATCCCAGTCATCCTGTTGAAGAAAGAGTGGTAGGGTTCTCTGATTATTATTTATTTAGTGTACGATGTGTCAGCGCTTCGACGCTGGCATAGAGAGCAGAGGAGAGAGAGAGATAAGCTCTGAACTTTTGCCTGCTAAATCCCTTTGAAGTCGGGTTGTCGTGGAAATGAAGGGGGGGGGAGACATTCCTGGGAAATGACGAGACAAGAAGTCTGAAGAATGACTTGGAAGATAGCCAATGAGAAGCAGAGATTTGGGGATCGGAAAGGGAGGGATTGGGGGGCAAAAGGTCAGTCTTGTCCGCATCGAGTCATGATCCGGTGGCTGTGCTCAATTAAAGAAAAGATTTCCTTAAAGATTGGCAGTTTGGAAATTCATTTATTTTGAGATAGCAGCGAAGTCTGACAGACGGACAAGACTGACCTTTTGAGAGGGACAGAATATGACAGAAGAGAACTAAATAGCTATACACAGTCCATGTAATTATAAGTAAACTGGGGAGTATGCCCAGGAGTGAGCTTCAAAAATTTTAACAAGGGGTTCTCTGCCCGGTTGCTGGGTGGGCATGGCTATGGTGAGCATGGCCTAGTTGGCCTCCTGCACCACGGCCGAGGGGGGGCTGTTTTTGCCCTCCCCAAGCTCTGGATGCTTTTCTTGAGCCTCCGGGATGGCGAAAACAGCCTCCCCAGGCTCCAGAAGCCCTCTGGAGGCTAAAAACAGGACTGTTTCAGACCTTCAGAACTTCCCAAACTTCTGGTAGTCCTGTTTTTTGCCCTCCCCGAGCCTCCACACGCACCCTGCACTTACCTGCATCCAAAATGGGCCGCTTGGGGACTCCTGGGAGGGGAAGGGTGGGCGGGGCCAGCCGGGAGTGGGATTTGGGGGTTCTCCGAACTCCACAGAATCTTAGCTAGAGGTTCTCCCGAACCCCCAGCAGCCCACCCCTGGGTATACCAGTGGCCTCATAACTGGATGTGCAATTTAACTACCCAGGCAATCACCTCTGATATTGCTTCATGCAGAGAACCAGAGAATACACGTCATGGGCAACCTTGCACAATATGTTTAATTGAGCCCCATGCTCTCTACATGGGGCTCCCCTTGAGGAGCACCCGGAGGCTCCAGCTGGTCCAGAATGCGGCTGTGCGGGTGGTTATGGGAGTGACGGGGCGCTCCCATGTGACCCCCCCTCCTGCGCGAGCTGCACTGGCTCCCAGTGGTCTTCCAGGTGCACTTTAAGGTTTTGGTTACCACCTTTAGAGCGCTCCATGGCTTAGGACCGGGGTATCTACGGGACCGCCTTCTGCCACCAGTAGCCTCCCACCGGCCGGTACGCTCCCATAGAGAGGGGCTCCTCAGGGTGCCGTCGGCCAAACAATGTCGACTGGTGGCCCCCAGGGGGAGAGCCTTCTCTGTGGGGGCACCCACCATCTGGAACGAGCTCCCCCCCAAGATAGAGAGGATCCCGGACCTGCGCGCTTTCCGCCGTGCCATCAAAACATTTCTTTTCCAGCAGGCCGGCCTGGCCGAACCTCTCTTTTAAACTTTTTTTAAAATTTCTAAATTTTAAATTTGTCTTATGAATTTGGGGTGTTTTAAATTGCGTTTTCCGGGCCAATTATTTTAATTGTATTTTAATGTATTTTTTTAACATTTGTATTATATGTATTTTATTTGGCTGTTCACCGCCCTGAGTCCTTCGGGAGAAGAGCGGTATACAAATTTAATGAATGAATGAATGAATGAATGAATGAATGAATGAATGAATGAATGATTAGTTTGCGTGTCAGCACCACCTTTGCAACAAGGGGAATCTTTCCATCCCCACTAGTAGAGGGCAGAGGCACTTCTTCCAGTGTCATACCTAATTCTGCTTAATTTTGACCGGTCAGAGCGAGGCAGGTTAAAACCAGGTGGTTTGATAAGCAGAATCAATAATGGTCAGACCGCAAGAAGGTACCTTGGACAATTCCTCACTGTTGGATAGTGGCAACACTGCTCTACCTTATTGCCTGGGTGAAAGCTACCCTCCTAAGGCCTCTCATCTTTTCTGCAGAAAAGGGACCCCTTTAGACAGTGTCGCTTGTCTGTTTCCTCCCTCTGCAATTTCCCCATGTAAATGTTCCATTACAGTGAATCACTTACCCAAATCCTGTTTTCATCACCAAGAAAGAAGGGAAGAGCCCAATGGTGAAATGTAAAATTTGTTACTACCGGTTCTGTGGGCGTGGCTTGGGGGTGGGTGGGTAATGTGACTGGGTGGGTGTGGCCAACTTTTTTTTTTTTTTTACTGTTAGAAGCATTTTTTCTACAACCTCTTCCGCCAAAGCGGTTTTAGAAAAAATGCTTTTAAAAGTAAAAAAACAAAAAAAGGCTCTGATGATCGTGCAGCTCAGCTGGGGGGGGGGCAGGGATTTTTGCTACCGGTTCTCCGAACTACCCGCCGCCATCGCTACCGGATTGGGCGATCCGGTCCAAACCGGGAGCATTTCACCCCTGGAAGAGCCCTTCAGATAAAGCCACAAGGGGAAAGCAGCATACCTGTGCCCGAGTGATTTCTTTGCAGCTAATCAGAGGTGTTTCAAGTTCAGTAACAGAACTCTTCCGATTATATTGATCACTGGCCTGTAGAAAAGAAAATATCCACTGTTATCTGTTTACATTGCTGCAGCACATTCTAAAAATTAGAGGTGCTGTGATGGGGTGGAGGCGGGGAATTGGGACCATTATTTCCTGGGATCAGTTCCTAATTATCTTAAAGCGAGCTAGTTTGGTCTAGTGCAATGTGACATGGCAGACTGTGGACCATTTAGAAGTGGGGTTCCCCAAACTCTTTGGCTCATCCAGTCCTTCACGAAGTTTCAAATTGTTGCTATCGCCCAAGGAAAGAGAGGATGAACCTATCCACCGCCATCAGCCCAATTGAGAATTCGAAAAGCAGTCTCTAACCAACGAGGCCTTATAACGGTTCTCCATCCTTTTCTCCTTGCCAAGTCCACCATTGTCACTTGGACATCCCACTCCTGTAGAACCTGGTAAGTGTGACCTCACAGACATTAGAGTTCCCTTCTATGTAGGTGAGCCGGCCACAGGACGAAAGAGAGAAGGCAGCAAGTACCAAGAGGAAAAAAATTGAGGAGGAAAAAGGATTTCCTACAAACGTTGCACATACATTGAGAAGGAGAGGCGGGATTCTTCCTGGCGAATAAGTCCTCCATCAGGCAACTCATGCACCAGCCATACCTAAATTGGCAACATAATTCACCTTGTGTGATGAGGTCTATTCTCTTTATATATATATATGGGGGAAACCCTCCCATACTACCACCTCTTACAATGCTACAGTATCAACAGTAGAGACCTTCACATTTCTAGGTTCTACCATATCTCAAGACCTAAAATGGACACCTAACCTCAAAAACGTCATAAAAAAAGCACAACAAAGAATGTTCTTTCTGCGCCAACTCAGGAAGCTCAAACTGCCCAAAGAGCTGCTGATACAGTTTTACAGAGGAATTATTGAGTCTGTCATCTGCACCTCTATAACTGTCTGGTTTGGTTCTGCAACCCAACAAGACAGACACAGACTTCAGAGCATAATTAGAACTGCAGAAAAAGCCATGGCTACCAACCTGCCTTCCATTGAGAACCTGTATACTGCACGAGTCAAAAAGAGGGCTGTGAAAATATTCACAAACCCCTCGCATCCTGGACATAAACAGTTTCAACTCCTACCCTCAAAACGACGCTATAGAGCACTGCACACCAGAACGACTAGACACAAGGACAGTTTTTTCCTGAATGCCATCACTGTGCTAAACAAATAATTCCCTCAATACTGTCAAACTATTCACTAAATCTGCATTACTATTAATCTTCTCATCATTCCCATCACCCATCTCCTCCCACTTATGACTGCATGACTGTAACCTTGTTGCTGGTATCCTTACAATTTATATTGATATTGTTTCCTGATTGCTTATTTGTAACCTATGACTATCATTAAATGTTGTACCTTATGATTCTTGACGAACGTATCTTTTCTTTTATGTACACCAAAAGCATATGCACTAAGACAAATTCCTTGTGTGTCCAATCACACTTGGCCAATAAAGTATTCTATTCTGTTCTGTTCTGTTCTGTTCTGTTCTGTTGTGTTTATAGTTTTTTCTTTAACATCCATAAACGCTTGTGAGCAGTGAGGTCAATATATACACAGTACTACTAGTAATAATATTTCAATATGTATAAGTCTTTCAACTTCTAACATTTGTTTATACATAGTTATTGTAAAGTATTCTATTATATGTCAGTAATACTTAATACTATTTTCCCCATTTTTACTCTCTACCTCTTTTTCCTAACTTTTAGTAAAATAGCTACCACACAGTATTAAGAAGTATTCTATATCTATCCATCATCACTTGCCCTTTTTTGAATTTCAACTCTGATCGACCTTTTGGTAAGTCTTTCATGCTTTTCCCTTGGAATCTTGTAACGCCTTACAACACGTTTATTTAATCTAAGTATTTCATCTACCACAATGCCTATCCCTTGCTGTTGGATCTTCTAGAGCAGGGGTCTCCAACCTTAGCAACTTTAAGACTTTCGGACTTTAATTCCCAGAGTTGAAGTCCACAAGTCTTAAAGTTGCCAAGGTTGGAGACTCCTGCTCTAGAGCACCCATCCGTAATTCTTTCATCATTTTTAAAAAAGCTTTCTCTTTATTCTCTTCTATATTTTGAACTCTTAAAGAATAATCTGTCTGTACCATTTTAAGAATTATTACTATCCCTTCCATCTCCAAATCTGTTTGTATCATTTTTTGGATTTATCTCCTCTATTCCTTCCTCAGTCCCTTCTGGTTTCTTCTCTATTTTCTGAATTTTTTGTTCATCTTTTATTGTCATTTGCTGGGGGTTTTCTCATCCCACATCTGTGTTCTGCATCAGTTCCATGATGATGTCTATTCTCAATCATCCAGGTCATGGTTGTCCCAAAGGTGCTTTTCAAGAGGCAACTGCACTCTCTCGTTTTTTTTTTCCCCTTGAAAATGTTTCATTTCTCATCCAAGAACTGAAGAAGCTTCTTAGATGAGAAGTGAAATGTTTTCAAGGGAAAAAAAACCAAGAAAGTAATGGTGCCTACTGAAAAGCACCTTTAGGACACCTTGTGGGATGGGATTAAGAGCAGAGGTGGGTTTCAGCAGGTTCTGACCAGTTTTGGAGAACCGGTAGCGGAAAGTTTGAGTAGTTCGGAGAACCGGTAGTAAAAATTCCGACTGGCCCCGCCCCCATCTATTCTCTGCCTCCGAGTCCCAGCAGATTGGGAGGAAATGGAGATTTTACAGTATCCTTCCCCTGCCATGCCCACCAAGCAATGCCACGCCCATCAAGCCACACCCACAGAACCGTTAGTAAAAAATTTTGAAACCCACCACTGATTAAGAGGTAATCCAGGATGCTGCATGCAGCCACAGGATGGTGCATATTCACTCAATCAGGATTGCCTTGGCAGTAGGGGAAGATTTCCATACTTACCACAGTGGGTACCAATAGATATTCTTTATACCTGCATGGTACTACAAATAGCAGAAAAGGCTTATCAGAAAAAGTTTAATAGTGGCGAATCTAATCTCTGAACAACCCTCCACATCCTTCTGGCTGTAGGCACCCAACATACCTACTCCAGCTTTCTCAACCAGCTCCTTTGTTGAATCAGCCTAGAGAACTAAATCATAAAATTACAGACTTGCCAATGTTTTTGCAATGCATAAATCACACACGCACACACACACAAACCCTCACAAAATTTACCAAATTTGAAACTAATCAAAAAGATATTCTACACAGGCAGCTGATGGATGTTTCACTGCTTGTGTTAGGTTTTATGACACCAGGCCATAAGGAGGTCATCTGTACCCCGCTTACTGTTTCATTTGATACCTGGTGGTTAAGGCATCAGGCTACAAGCCAGGAGATCATGAGTTCTAGTCCTACATTAGCCATGAAGCCATTCTGGGTTATTTTGAGCCAGTCACTGTCTCTCAGCCCTAAGAAGCTGGCAATGGCAAACCACTTCCAAAATCAGGCCAAGAAAATTGCAGGGATTTGTCCAGTCACCAGTAGACAACACTGATTTGAAGGCATCCTCTTTTTTGTTTTAACGATCCCATAATCCCTTGGGGGTGGAGTCTGGGCAACTGAATGGAGCTAAGTGTTTACAGGCCGGATGCCCTTCCTGTCACCAATGAGGAGTTTTGTTCAGCAGATATATTCTCAGTGTGCCCAGATCAGCTTCTTATACTACTCACCGTTCTAAAGAAAACAATTATAGCAAGGAACAAAGAATATATAGACTAATACAGAAAACGTTCATCAGTCTTTTTCCAAACTCATAAAGGTAAAGGTTCCCCTCGCACATATGTGCTAGTCGTTCCCGACTCTAGGGGGCGGTACTCAACTCCGTTTCAAAGCCAGCGCTGTCCAAAGATGTCTCCGTGGTCATGTGGCCAGCATGACTAAATGCCAAAGGCGCAGGGAACGCTGTTCCCTTCCCACCAAAGGTGGTCCCTATTTTTCTACTTGCATTTTTTACGTGCTTTCGAACTGCTAGGTTGGCAAAAGCTGGGACAAGTAACGGGAGCTCACCCCATTACGCGGCACTAGGGATTCGAACTGCTGAACTGCCGACCTTTCGATCGACAAGCTCAGCATCTTAGCCACTGAGCCACCATGTCCCTTTTTTCCCAAAACTCATACCCCCCTCCAAAAGCAAGCTGAACTACAAACATATATTTCAAATAAGTAAAATGACTCCTAGACCAGCTCATGTATGCCTAGCTTTCTTATCATCCTTATTATAAGCATCTTCACATGAAAACCTTAGCTACTTACGGTCTAAGAGCCTCTTAGGTAAAGCTTTAGTCCTAAAGATAATTAGTGCAGAAATAGCTTTCTGGAGTTGGTTTTTTTTTCCCCCGCCAGTTCCACCTGGTGCTTAACTCACTTCAATCAACTTAAAACGCTGACCAAAATTATAGCTACAAATTAACTAAATGTGTTCCATTATAAATCAGTAATATAATGTCATCCATGTTTACTGTGCAGAACAGTGATGAAAAAAGAAAAAAAAAGATTTCTAGAAAGGAATATCTTAAATGTATTTATTTTTATACAGATACAGCAGGTTTTTCCTTCAAGAGCTCCAGGTGCCAGCATTTCGTTCTTCCAATTTTTCTCCTCAATAATCCTTCAGAGAGGTTGGCACATGCACCCACAGGGGGTGTCAGAAAAGTCAAGATGGTACTCTCAATCTTATGACCAAAATCCCAACCCTTTTTATGTGTGTGTGTGTGGCACAGTGCACATAAGGAGGGGGAGGCTTTGATTACTTGTTCAAGCTGCCATCTTGGCATTGTTGATGGGGCATATTTTAAATTTAACTCTATGGGCATCAGCGGTGCCCATAGAAAAAGATGCCACGGCAGACTTGCTTATTCACACATTGGCTAAATAACAGGCCTGATCCATAGGGTTGCCAGGTCTGCTTCCAAATAATAGCGGACAAGCGGGCGGGGGGTGGGGATGGGGGTTAAGTAGTAAAAAAAAATGACAATTAAATTATATATTTTCTTACAAACATTTTAACACGTATTAAAATAATCACTTCAAAACTTTACTTAAAATTCAAAACATCAAATATATTATAATAATATGTAAAATATTAAATTACATTTTAATTTCATCATAAAGCTTTTAGTTTAGTTTAGTTTATTTGATTTGTATACCGCCCTACTCCCAAAGGACTCAGGGCGGTGAACAGCCAAACAATAAAATATATAGATACAAAAAATTTAAAAACCAGATAAAATCAAATTAAATCATTTTGGCCCAGACAGATTAAAACACCCCGATAATTTAAAAACAAAAAAAAAATTGAATAAAAAAAATGTCCACTATTTTGTGAAAAAAAATAGTGAACATAATGTGAAAAAAGCGGACTGTCCGCTCAAATAGTGGACACCTGGCAACATTACTGATCCATCATGAAACATCCATTACCCAGAAAGATAAGTAATTTCCCAAGAGTTTTACTATTACAGTTGAACAAAATTTGAACCTTGAAATAGCCCAAGCGTGCTTCCCAAACTTGGGAAAATTACTCCAAATTAAAATCATAGTAAAATCATTTTTTCTTTTGAGTAGCCGCCAGGGATGGGTTCTACT